CCCCCCCCCCCCCCGTCTCACTTTCACATCCTACATAATATTCAGAAATGGATGATATTAGTTTTGTTCTCCTGCAATGCTTCCTTCCACATAAGGATCTTTTTGAGTTCCTTCACAACTATTTCCAAGTCTCCATTTATTCTGGCCTCTTGTCTCCAGTTTCTATTTTGGTTGATGGTTGAACCAAGCTATAGAAAATCCTTACCAATTCAGAAATATTTATAGTTGTAAGATACCTGTGTCCTGGAAACAGTAGAATCCATGGGGGGGGGCAAGCCATCCAGGCTTCCTTTGCCTTTATTACCTAGGGAAGCACCTGATACCTGTGCAGAGAAGATAAGATACAGGGTTGGGTTGATTTTACCTAAGAAGGAATGTTTGCTTTATTACATATTGCAGAGGAAAAAAACTACCAGAGTCTTTAAAAAGTGAGTACAAAGACTGAATTACGTCACTGGTTATCTTCCCAAGGACAAATTTATTAAGAAAAACTCATGTAAACATTTCTGAACAAGCTGACTGGATAGTTAGCTCAGTGGTTTAGCTATCTAGGTGCAGAACCAGAGGCTAGGAGTTTGATTCCCCACTCTGCCTCCTGTGAGTAAAGTTTGCCTTGTGGCCTTTGGCAAATTGCACAGTCGCAGGGCACTCCCAGAAGAAGGAAATAGTGAACCACTTCTGCATATTCCTTACCTAGAGAACCCTGGAAAACATCACCATAATTGACTTGACAACACATTATGATCATTATTCAATAAATACTCTTTCGGTGTCTATTTGTGAGTTCTTGTTGTACGCACAGCCATGCATGCTCACTCTGTTGTTGGCCATTGCCTTATTTCTCAGCCCCATGTCATTTCAGCTTCATAGCCACACATAAAAAGAGAAAGCGTAACATTGCTGCTAGCAGTTAAATGTCCCTGAATGAGCTTGATTGTCTAATGCCTATAAATAAGCAGCAGCATCACCGGTAACATTGCTGACTACCTTCCTTCTGATATTAAATGTGCTGCAAGCATATAAAATGAGGAATGGGTACTTTATGTTGCTGCCTGATGGCATAACAAGGACAGTATTGGTTTTGAGAAACTTGGTAATCTTCCACACTTGGTATGCTATGCACACTGGGAGACAAGCACTACACAATGCTGCAAAAGAATCATAAAATTCAAGGATCAGTTTTGAGTTAAGAGGACTGATTTGGAGTGTTTAGTATGAATCCTGATTTGATCAATCCATTTTGGCATTGGAGGGGGTGCTGCAAAACAC